TTGAAGTTTTGGAATTAGGCTGTGAAATACTTGTATTTGTGATTCTAGTTAATTAGCTCTTACTTAGGACATATTTACCTAAGACAAGCTATTGAAATGAAGTATGCTTTAGAAGCCTCTAGGTGCCATATTCATGAAGCTGCATATGTCGTCCACATGCTGGCTACTTATGCAAATCCCAGGAAAGGCATTCTCTTTTCCCAGTGGTTCCTAGGATGCAGAAACCCCATAATTTTTATTGATTCTGACTTTAAGTATTTCAAATGCCATTGGGTTGAAATTTGGCAAAACAATTTCTACTCTAGAAGTGCTTTTGAAAAAACATGCTTGCTTTCATGTGCTTGGGAATGCTACCTAAAATGATAGTCATGAATGTGAAAATCCACTTTTGACAAGCAGGTGAAAATCATGCCTTTTTAGGAGGATTGCCTTAGAGCAACAAAGTCCTGGATAAATTGAAGCCAGGAATGGGAATGTAGCACAAATCCCAGCCCTCCCCTCCAGCCATTTATTGTCTGGAAGGTTGAAGGAAGGAATGGGGATGTAGACAAGAGCACTTTGGGGAAAGAGGAGGACACAGGACTGAAGCTGACACTACCTGAAGCTGCCAGGTGGAGTCTTCTTTGACTGATCTGGGGATTGACTGATCCTTGAGAGGAAGACCTTGACTTGTTCCTGGGGGACCACAGGGAATGTTTTGAAGAATGCTGAGGTTCTGCTTAAGACCTAGGATACTGAGCTACTCACAGTCAAATATTGTTACTTGGACCTTTCTGGTCTTCACAGGCTGGTAGAGTTGGCGAGGTTTAGGGTAAGTGAAATATCTGCAGATTGCAGAAACACCCCGTATCACTGAACACCATCTGTAATTTTCATTAGTACCGGGGGATCCAAGTTAGAGGGTGTAGACCTAATTGGGATATGCGAAACAGCTGCTGGTCAAGTGAGAGTCTTTTTGTTTTAATATTATTGATCTTAGGTGTTTCTAGCCTATACTTTTAAAATAGTGTTTCACAAAAAATGAAAAATGATGTAAAAATACATAAAATAATTTAAAAAAGTGTTTCCCAAATTTGCCAAAGAGTAAGAATCATGGTTAAAATACAAATTCCAAGGCCCATCTTTTGGGGATTCTGATTCAGGAGGTAGGTAGGAAGGTGGGGTAGTGTGGTGGGGCATGGAATGAAGTCTGCGGGTCTGCATTTTTCACAAGCACCTCAAGTGCTCTTTATGATTAGCAAGTTCAGGAGACATAGATGTTGACAGGCTTGATGTATGAAATACCTGGTTGGTTGGCTTTCCTCTAGAATTTGACCTGTGGGATTTGATGAGCAAACACAGCTTGTTATCCTACTCATTATTTCCTTTTTCTTCTTTTTAATGGAAAGCAAAAGAGTATGCAATTTATTTTACCATTTATTTTATGTACTACTCATGTATATTAAATTTTTATTCCAGTTTTTACTTTATTTTAATTTCCTAGACCTTGGTACATTTCTCTCTTAGCCTTTATTGGGTAGGAAGAGGTAATCTTTTTAAAAGTCTGTCTTTCTGTGAAAACTGTTTTACCCACATGATCATGTCAATGGCCACACCTGGATATTGAGTATGGAGACCAGAGTACACTCTTCCAGATGTGAATAAAACATTGTGTCCAGGCAGGTAAGAGCAAGTAGATACATCACGCCACTCATTCCCAGACCCCGTTTTCTCTCACTAAACACCAGCCACTCAGAACAGCTTCATCAGTACCCTAAAGGCTCCCCAAGGCACCTTTTTACTTGTGGTTTTTTCTTTCTGGTACACTAAACCTTTCAGCCCATTTACATCCAGGTAACTCCACCACTTCTTTTACCCGAATTGACCCTGGCCATCTAAGCTGTGTGTTATTTTTCCATAGAGCACCATGTGATAACATCGGGGAGAGAGCGCCTCTCATTCCACCAATTGGTCGCCCTGTATGAGCAGGAGCTTGGCATTTCCAACAGCAGCACTGTGCTTAGCACATAGTGTTTGGGACATAAATGAAGAATATTTATTTGTTACATTTTCTGATACCCCCACATTTATTCCCTTCTTTGCTTGCAGGAGTTGGCAGGGCGCTGTGCAAATAGAGAAAGCCCTTGGACTCTTCAGCAAAAATGAAAGCAGCCCACATTCTGGAGTTTCATTGGTACATTTCCTAAAAGCTGACCCTCATCTCTCCATTTTAAATGAACTCAGAGTTTTGAGAGATCCTCCTGGTATTTTGTTTCTGTCAGCATTCCATATTTTAGTTCTTTTAGTGTTTTCTATAATCTGGGAACTTTCTCTGATGCTCTCTTGCAGGAAACATAAAACATCAGGCAGTGCCAATTTTCATCCAAGGGAACCTGTTTTTGTGCCCAGGGAAATGTTTACTTCTTTTTGTTTTTCATTTTTAGCTTTTATATTCCTCTCTCCCCAGCAAAACAACAAAGCTTTTTTTTTTTTAATAAATTTTATTTTTATATTCCCCATACAATTGCAACCCCCTTATTTTTACCCCAATCCCTCCCCTCCCCACCCCCCAAAAACAACAAAGCTTTTAAGAACAAAACTCTTCAACTCATGAATATCCATTTGGATAAGACATATTAGGGGATTAGAATGGGGAGACACTAAAAATACAACCACTAGAATTCATACCAAGTGATGTTCTTTTGGGAACCATCCTTTAAAATGAGGCAGATAAGGGCCTCCCTGGTGGCGCAGGGGGTTAAGACGCAACCTATGAAGCTGTCCACAGCCACTGAAGCACTGAGTTGGATCTCTGGCCAGGGAGCTACCCATATGGTGCAGCAGACCTCTCCTGACTTGCCCGCTGCTCCCTTCAGCAGTGTATTTCAGTCAATCTGCCTGTTCTGTTCCCCACTCTGTCTCTGGTGAGTCCTCTCACCACCGCCCACACACCTCTGGCTTGTATCCCAGTTCTTGTATGCATACATAAATAAATCTTAAAAAAAAAATGAGGCAGATACTTCCAGATTGTATGTGAAACATCTAAAAAATCTTACATCTGGAGGGAAAAGAGCAAAATGAAAATCAGGACAAAAACCGCCATTGTCACTTCACCACAGGGTCTCTCACCCACATCTGTGTCAACCAGTCCATAACCAAAAGGCAAGCGCAGTTTCTTCATGTGTCTCTTGGCTCCATGTGCCTCCTCCAGGTCTCCTTCTAGCTCTCCATCCTGCTTCCTTCCTTCCTCAGTCTCCTCTGCAGCTTCTCTCTGCTCAGCTCCACCCTCCTTTTTGGGTGGGGCAGGAAACCTGGAACCTCCCCCTTTCCTGGGGACCACCCTGTTACAAATCTGCCTGTTCTGTTCCCCACTGTGTCTCTGGTGAATCCTCTCACCATCCCCCCCACACACCTCTGACTTGTACCCCAGTTCTTGTATGCATACATAAATAAATCTTTAAAAAAAATAAAATGAGGCAGTTACTTTCGGATTGTATGTGAAACATCTAAAAATATCACATCTACCAACTCCACTAGTGTCCTTAACAAAGACCTTCCAGTTCTACAGGATTTGGTTTGCTCCATCTCTGAGCACATCTCCTACCGGGTCCCCTCACTCTCTCAGCTCCAGCCAAATGGGCCTGCAGGCTACTTCCTGTTCACCAGCCTGGACAACTTCCCCAACTCCTTTTCTTAGTGTCAGCTTCTGAATGAGTCATTCCTCGGCTTCTCTATAAAACAATAACACCTCCTCTGTCCCTCCAGGCACTACCTGTCTCCTTTACAAGATTTTCCTCTGTAGTACTCACCCTCTTCTGATGTTTATTGGTGCCATTTGTTTATCTATCCTCCACCTCCACCCCTCGCCCTTCCTCTAGGAAGTAAACTCCATGAAGGCTGAGGTAGTTCTGTCTTGTTTACTGCTTGTAATCTCAGCACCCAGATCAATGCCTGACAATAAGCTAGGAGGCTGATCAATACTTACTGTTCAATTTTGAATTTAGTTTCTATTGTACAGTGTTTGTAAAATCTACATTATTATAAAAATTGTAATAGAATAGAATAATTACCTCCTAAACTGGGTTTCAGACAATTTCTTTGAGATTTAAAAAGCTCTCATGGAATATTTCAATTTAATTCTGTTCAGCTGTTTTAGAACAGAAGAAAAAATTGTTAATAACAGTTGATGGTAGTGAAAACTAGAAAGAATGTAAATGTACAGCAATAAGGAGTTGCACAATAAGTTAATATATATTCACACGTTGTATTTTTATTTAGTCCTGGAAATAATATTGACATGAAAACAGACTTCTGAGAGACGCTTATGTGTATAAAATAAGATATCAATATGCAAAATATATTTTTTCAATACTGTTCTATGTTTCTCAGAGAACTGGACAGAAACACATCAAAATACTAATGAAACTTCCATACAGATGATTTAAGTAAACTGTCGAGGTCTCATTCCACACTGCATGGAGGAGCTGAGTCAAACTGGCTCTGGCCTTGGCATCTTATCACCTGCCTGCCATCCTCTGCTGGTTCTGCGTCAGTGCCCTGCTCTCTGCAGCCTCACCAGCCCCACTCCCTCTAACAAATGGGAAACTTTTCCAGGGCAGGACTGGGAGATGTGACCCAGCCCCTAGCCCATATGCTAGCTCATCTCATATTGCAGCGCTGCATTACAGTCCAATATAACTGTGGATCTTCTTGGGTTAGATTTCAGCAAACATAAATCAGTCCTTTAATTTTACCTGGAAGATAATATTGAATAGCAATACTCTATAGGCTAATACAGAGCACTTTCTGTAACGACAATAAAAGACCCTACCAGTATTGAGTTGATTTCTTTCCCTTTTCAGGACTATCACGACTGTTGATCAATGCAAAAAGAATTGAGCTAAAAAGATGATCCTTTAAAAATAGACCCAGTTGCTCAGTTCCAAGTATATGACGAACACCTCGGGCACCTCCGAAGTTAGAACATCAGTTTTTTTGAGGTCGAGCCCAGACAAAGTATCTTTTAAAGAATCATCCTTGGTAAGATCTATTTGTATATTTAATTAAAATAGAATGTCAGTAAATACAGCCCTAAACTAGTGTTTATAATCTCAGGGAAGTAACTTACAAGATGGTCACCATTTGTTCTTCTGTTTCCTTAAGCAGCTATCTTGATATCCAAGATGTCCTGTTTATAAACTGTCATCTACAAGGCCAGGGAGCAGAGTGAGCCATGTGATGGATCACCCTCTGCAGGCTGACTCCGCCTGTCGTTCTCCCTGGCTCTAATTAAAAGACGACTAAGTCAGGGGTCTAAGGCAAGGATGACAATAGGGCGGCAGTCCCCAAAATAGCAGCAAAGGAAAATGGATGCCTTTGAGTGATTGCATGATGTCTGAATTAATGGCCAGGAAATGAGCGATTATTGCAGACTTAAAGCTGGGCTGTTTTATAAAGCTTGTGGTGTGCTCAAAGCCATATACTTGAACTTGGGGAAATTTAAGAGAGGGATTTGTTCAGTTATTGCTTGGCTGGATATATGCATATCCAAGCAGTGCTTAAACTAAGAAGAAAAACACTTTCTGCTACTGCTCTTTTAGTATTGACGTTTCTAAAATAAGCATGATCTTATGAAACTCATTTTGTAGACACATGTAGTCTCTAGCCAGTTGTTGACTTAGAGAAACAGTTTTTATTACTACTGTTTCTGTGCCTGACTTATGATAATATTAGTTGGTATTTAAATAGCTGTTTTACTGTGGAAGCAAAGCTTCTAAGAGCTTATTCCCATCCTTTTTTTTTTTATTACTAACATATTTCCACTGCATTCTGTTTGGCAAGTTGGTGATAAGCATCCTTATTTTTCTGTGGCCGGTAAGTTCAGTAGGTTAAAGCATCACACAAAGAGGCTGAGGTCCAGCATTTGATTCCCCCATGGGGGTGAGCTCCCCTAGGCTGCACTCCTAACCCCAGCCACCATCTTGTAACGGTGTCCATTCATCATGGGTGGAAACAGGAAAGGGGATGAGGGTGGATCAGAGCAAATCCATCACCATTACTGGGAACCCAGCTGATCATGCTGGCCTCACAGATTGGGGCCTAGGAGGGTCAGGGGAGGTGTTTTATGCAAACAGTATGGTGTGCAAATGGAAAAATTAAGATGCAGATTACATTATATTGTTGAATTTTAAAATTTGATCATTTTAACAAACTTCAAATCTGTATTTTTTTTTCACTATTTTTCAGTCATTTTGAATTTTTAATCCTAAAACATTTGCTACCATCTAGCCTGTATCAAATACAGGCACCTAATTATTTCTTAAACTATCTTTTGTTCTAAAAATAACCACCACAAATTTAATAGTTGGAAAACAGATGTCAAATGAAACCTTGCTCACATATATCTTCTCACAGAGAATGGCCTACCTTAGGAGGACCTAATGGGAATAAAGGAGAAAAAAACTCGGGAACATAACACTGACTTCAAAAGGCAGATGATTTTGGCTGAGGCAGGAGACGTTATATTTGGCCTGGTTTTGTTTTTGCAGGACAGTTATTCTTAGAGTGGTTGACCTTCCTACAGTGGCTTTCTTTTATCTTGACTAATATTGGCTCATCTGTTTTTTTTCCCCATTTCTTTCTTTTTTCCCCTTTCCAACTGGTGGTGCTTCCAAGAAGTCCTGCTGCTCTCAGCTGCAGATTGTACTGCTGGGCGCTCTCGAGTGCCTTTGGTGGCCGAGGTCCCCACAAAACATATCATACATATCCTACAATCAAGTTAAATGTAAAAACTCCATGGAATTGAGAACAATCTGGGCTATCTATAGTCCTTATTTCATTCTGTTGAATGGTATGCGATTCTCAGAGTAAACCTTCCATGAACATTCACTGAGTTGAATGGGAAAAGAAGCCAAGGTCTGTAAATGCTATTTATATGCTCTCTGCTGAGAGTGATTCAGCTTCATTTTCCATTGTGCTACATCCACAGATAGCCAAGATGTCTCTTACCAGTTCAGGCAGCCTTTCTCCTATACTTCTGGCACATTTCCTATTTATAAGTGGCTTCTGGGCCTGGAGTCACCTCCCCTTACCTTGGCCACCAGCATTATCCGCCCCCATGCATGTTCTAGGCAGGGACCACCCGGTTCTCACTGTCTAAAGATCTGTCCTTAAAACCCCTTTCCCTCACTCCCTTGTTCTTGCTTCTGGCCCTCTGCTTGACTGGGAAGGTACATTCTGGGCTTATCCAGACAGTTTCCTCACCTGCATTTTCTCTTCCTTCTGATAGACAAAGCAGCTTATTAATTACCCTGGGAATTAGAAGCATAGAGAGTGGGCCTCCTACCCAAGATGAAGGAGGTTGTACCGACTTATAATTAAGAGCACAAACTCTAGAGCCACATTGCTTGGATCAAATCCATCACTTTGTAGCTGTGTGACCTTAGACAATTTACTTAACGTCTCTGACCTCCATCCTTTTATCTTATCCAATGTGAATAATATCTTCTTCACAGATTAGTGTTTGTAAGGCTCTTAGTCTAGACCTAGCAAAGAGTAAGTGTTCTGTAAGAGGTGCTCAAATAATGAGTTACACAAATAATGAGTGACTAGTGATATATGCCACATTGTCTTGATCCACTCATCTGTTTTTGGGTACTTAAGTTGTGTCCATAGTTTGGCTATTGTAAATAGTGCTGCAGTGAACATGGGAGTGCAAATTTACCTTTGAATTAGTGTTTTTGTGTCCTTTGGGTAGATACCCAGGAGTGGAATTGCTGGGTCAGCTCCCTGGCCTGGGATTGAACTCATGTTGCAGTGGCTGGTGACAGCTTGATAGTGCTGAGACTTAACCCCCTGTGCCACCAGGGAGGCCCCTAACTTTCGTCTTTTTAATTGAAGTCATTACATCATAACATCATAGACGGTTCATGTACATAACCTCTACAAATCAATGTGTCTTTACTACATTAAGTTCACCACTAAAAGTCCAGTTCTATCCTTCACCATTCAACTGACCCCCTTTACCCAATTTATCCATGCCCCCTTCTTAAAGATTAACATTAGTGGGCCTCCCCTGGTGGCGCAGCGGTTGAGCGCTGGATTGTGAGGCTGCCCACAGCCTCTGCAGCACCAGTTCGATCCCATTCCACTGGCGAGGGTCCCACAAAAAAAAAAAAAAAAAAAAAAAAAAAAAAAAAAAGATTAACATTAGTGCTGATACAATCAAAAAGATAAACTCATGCCATTTGCAGCAACATGGATGAGCTGGGATTATGCTCAGTGAAATAAGCCACAATGAAAAAGAAAAATATCGGATGGTTTCACTTATCGGAGGAATGTAGGGGAACCAAATAAGGGATCAGGAAGAAAAAAATACTTATAATAAATTAAAAAACAAAATTAACAGGCAACTATCAATCAGAGACTTTCTGCAGGGGAGGGGGAAGGAAAGGGATCAAAACAGGGGTTGGAAGAGCACGAGGGACTATGGTGATGGTGCACAGGTGAACTGGTGGTGGGAGTTTTATGGGGACTACACATGAGAGGAGAAAGCATACATTGCACAAAAACGGAGAATGATGCAAAAAAATATATATATATAATTTAAAAAAATGAGTACTATAGTTTCCTACAAAGTGCCTCCATTCTTTACAAAGTAAATGATAATGTTCATGTTAAACATTTAATATCAGAAGGCAAAGGAACTCTTTCCATCCTACCCTTTCACCACAGCTCTTCCATATGTATATTTTATTTTATTCCAACTCTCTGTTTCACCTACATTTATGTCTCACTGCTCTAGCACATGGTGCTTCCTATTTCTGAGGCTTTCTGGAGTGTTAGATTCTGTTGACTGGGTTCTCCTCGGCATGTCCCTCTGAAGATACACAGCTTCTATCCTTTCCACTCAAGTAAGTGACCCCTCTCCACCTGATTTCCACATGTGGAGAGCATGGCTAGGGATTTCAGATGACAACTAGTCCCATCAAAAAAGGAGCTTGTATTTTTTTCTTTGTGGAGAACAGAAAAGTCAATCTCAACATCTTAAAACAAGAAGTATGCCATTTTTAAAATACAATTATGATAAGGGTCTGCAAAAGATGTGCTACTAGAGTTTCTAACAGAGGGACCTGCCAGGGTTTGTCCTCCTGAGCCAGAAGGAAAGGTCCTGAGGAAAAAGTTTAGATGTTACCCAGGAAGCAAATTCATCACGTTGATTGTTTTAGCTTTCCTTGAGACTTGGAGGACTTTGCTTGGCATTTTATCTTTAAGATATGTTACCTTCTGAGAATGTAAATTTTTTAAAAGCAAAGACTGTTTAAATGCAATATTCATTGGCAGTGAGCACTGGAATCCTTTAAAATGAAGGTACTTTTTTTGAGGCTAGAGATTTGTCCTTATTTTTGAAATGCTAAGTCATCTAGATCTTTACAAATAATTTTTCCAAATCCTTAAATAGTAATTTGTGTTACTCTTTCTTTCTTTCAACATCCTGAAGCTTGGAAACAGAATCAAGATTTCTCAGAGACCGCCCCATCCTTTCCATTAAACAATCATTCAGGCAACTTACACTCAGAAGAGGAAACACTGACACTTAATCAACAAAAGAAAGTCACACTTGATGTCCTGTTTGTACAGAGACAAAAATAGTTCTTCAAAAATAGCAGATTGAAGTTTATATTGAAAAATGTCCATTATGATAGTGAGCATTTCTCTATCTCTGTTCCTGAGATAATCTGTGCTACCACAATAAATAATGCACTGAACGGAGCATGATTGTATCAGAGTCGCTCTGTTTTGTATTAACCCAAATACACATATTTTACAGTGACGTTTGATAATAAAGATTAGCACAGGACCCAGCTGTTGGTGCTTTTGTTATAACCACATTGTTAGTGATGCACAGTAGCACCTTTTTTTTAATGAAAGAAAAAAGGGCAGGGTACAATAACAGAAGATCCAACAGGTTGAGCTACTGTTAATCAGGTTCTTCTAAGGAATTCCTTCATGGACTAAGATTTAGAACAATTTCCAGGTCCGGCCATCTCTCAGCAAGTGAACAAGTCTGTGTCTCAGGTCCAGTGTGTTTCTGGATTTTTTTTTTTGTGGAGCCTGTTCTGAGTTAAACAGACCCTATTTTTTCTCTACCAGTGATGTTGAGACTTCTAGGTGAAAATTAGACAAACTGACTTGACAATTTGGCAAACTACAAAGAAATAGGGGGCATCCATGGGTCATGACAACAGACCTCCATGTTGTGGTCTTTGGTCTGAAGATGTAAGAGATAGACAAATGGATTTAAGAGCCAGACCCCAAAGTTTCTCCACTAATAACCTAACCTCAGCCCATTTCCCTGGCTGTTCCTTTATTTTTAAAATTTTTAATTAAAGTTATTTTGTTGAGGTAATTTTGCTTTACATCGTTGCTTGTATTTTGGAAGTATATGACCCTCCCTTTCAGGTTTTGTTACCTAGCTCTCCTACCACCAAAGCACCCACAGTTCATCACAATAGTCTTTGTGCTGCCCTTCCTTATCCCCTCCCCCTCTGAATGCCTCATTTTTGTTATCAGCTTTCAGGGTTAGTATTTGAGTTTGGCTTTATTTGACCCTTTGTCTGGTTTCTCTATATTGCACAGTTAAGTGGTACTATCTGATAATTATCTTTCTCCTTCTGTCTTATTTTGTTTAGTATAATAACTTCAGCTCCATCCATGTTGCTGCAAATGACAGGAGTTGTTGTTTTTTTTTTTGTCACTGAGTAGTATTCCACTGTGCATATATGCCACATCATCTTGATCCACTCATTTGTTTTTGGGTACTTAAGTTATGTCCAAAGTTTGGCTATCGTAAATAGTGCTGCAGTGAACATGGGAGTGCAAATTTACCTTTGAATTATTGTTTTTGTGTCCTTTGGGTAGACACCCAGGAGTGGAATTGCTGGGTCCCATGAAAGATCCATTTCAATCTTTTGAGAAGCCTCCATTCTGCTTTCCATGGGGGCTAGACCAGCCTACATTCCCACCAGCAGTGTAAGAAGGCTTCCTTTTCTCCAAATTCTCACCAGCTTTGGTTGTTTCTGGTCCTTTTTATATAGACCATTCTTATAGCAGTGATGTGGTATCTCATTGTGGGTTTGATTTGCATTTCCTTGATGATAAATGATGATGAATATTTTTTCATGTGCCTGTTGGCCATCTGCATGTCTTTTTTGGAGAACTGCCTATTTAGCTCTTCTGCCCAATTTTTAATTGGGTTATTTATTTTCTTTTTGTTGAGTTGTCTGAGTTCTTTGTAGATCTTTGATATCAGCCCCTTGACAGATGTATGGTGTGCAAATATTTCCTCCCATTCCGGAGGGTGTCTTTTCACTTTGGTTACAGTTTCTTTTGCTGTAGAGAAGCTTTTTAGTTTCATATACTCACAAATGTTTATATTCCCTTTTGCTTTCCTTGCTGTTGGAAACATATCCCCAAAGATTTCACTAAGACTAATGTAGTGTAGTGATTTGTCTTTCTTCTTCTATGTATTTTATGATTTCAGGTTTTACATCCAAGTCTTTTATCTGTTTTCAGTTTATTTTTGCATGTGGTGTGAGATAGTGATCCAGTTTTGTTCTTTTGTATATGGCTGTCCAGTTTTCCTAACATCATTTATTGAAGAGGTTTTCCTTGCTCTGATGTATGTTGTGGCTCCTTTGTCATATATTCACTGTCCATATAGGTATGGGTTTATTTCTGTGTCTCAGTTCTATCCCATTGGTCTGTGTGTCTGTTTTTGTTCCAGTACCATGCTGTTTTAATTATTATAGCTTTATAATGTAATTAAGTCTGTAAGTGTGATATTTCCATTTTTCCTTTTCTTTTTTTGGTCAGGATTGCTTTGTCATATATTCACTGTCCATATAGGTATGGGTTTATTTCTGTGTCTCAGTTCTATCCCATTGGTCTGTGTGTCTGTTTTTGTTCCAGTACCATGCTGTTTTAATTATTATAGCTTTATAATGTAATTAAGTCTGTAAGTGTGATATTTCCATTTTTCCTTTTCTTTTTTTGGTCAGGATTGCTTTGACTATTTGGGAGTCCTTTGTGGTTTCATTTAAATTTCATTAATGTTTGCTCTGTTTCTTTTAAGAATGCCATTAGAACTTTGATAGGGATTGCATCAAACCCATTGACTGCTTTAGGTAGGATGGCCATTTTGACAATGTTGATTCTTCTAATCCATAAGTAGGGAATATCTTGCCATTTCTTTGTGTCTTCTATTTCTTTTAACAATGTCTTATAGTTTTCTTTGTACAGGTCCTTCACTTTCTTTGTTAGGGTTACTCCTTGGTATTTATATTCTCTTGGTGTGATTGTAAATGAGATCACTTTCTTCATTTCTTCCCTGTCTAGTTCATTTGTTATATATAGAAGGTAACTGACTTTTGTGTATTGATTTTATAACCTGCCATTTTGCTGAACCAATTTATTATTTCAATTAGATTTTCATGGGCCTCCCCTGGTGGCTCAGGGGTTGAGCGCTGGGTTGCAAGGCTGCCCGCAGCCTCTGCAGTGCCAGTTCGATCCCTGGCCACCAGTGAGGGTCCCACAAAAACAAACAAACAAACAAAAAAAACATTCAATTAGATTTCCAGTGGTGTCTTTAGGGCTTTCTATGTATATTATGAATTTGTCAGCAAATCATGATAGCTTTATTTCTTCTTTCCAGTTTGGATTCCATTTATAGATGTCTCTTACATAATTGCTCTAGCTAGGACTTCTAATACCATGTTGAATAGCAGTGGTAAGAGTGAACAACCTTGTCTTTTACCAGATCTTAGTGGAAAATTGCTCAGTTTTTCACCATTGAGAAAGATATTAGTTGTAGGTTTGTCATATTTGGCTTTTATTGTGTTAAGATAATTCCATTTATCCCTAGTTTTTTGAGGATTTTCATCATAAGTGGATATTGAATCTTATCACATGCTTTCTTGGTATCTATTGTCATGATTCTTTAAAAGTCCCTTCTGATCCTACCCTGACACAACACAGTTTGGGACTGCCCCATGGTCATGATGCATGATTTATATTCTTGAATAAACATGTTTTGATTATATTATAATTTGATTATTTTGTGGTTACACTTTAATAGAGTATCCCATAATAGGTACTTTTTGTTTACTTATAAACCTGCTGCAGGTATATAACATACACCAAACAGAATAGTAAAGAAAATATTCTAACTAGTGCACATAAATAAAAAATTAAGTTTTCTATCTATATTTAGCATATCATTCCTATTTTGGAACCCACTGGAAATAAGAGCTCCATTTTATGCATAAAATGAAAGGTCATAGCATTTGTGTCTGTAAGTGAATTACTTGGTGAGAATAAACAGAGGCTAAACACATTTTGTTGGTTATTTCTTTTTCTTCTCAATGTCCATCTAAACCTATCTACATTATAAGTCACTCTTCACTAATGGATAATTTTCTTAACTAGGCATTGGTATAGAAACACAGCTCCCAGTGATCATATTCTCCCCTATATGATTTGAAAGCATTTTGCTGGCTATTTTTATGTCCTCGAAGTCCAGGATCAGAAATGGAATTTTCAGATTAGTTGCAGATGCCCTCCCCTCCCCCTTTGTAACTGGATGTGCTTTAATTCAAAAAGAAACTTTTCAGGCCATTAAGCTTCAATACAATTTAATGCCTTAGGGCTGTGGGGCTTGAAATCATAGAGAAGCCCGAATAAATGTTTTAAAAGAAAATCTGGAACCAAAGTATGCATTTTTTTTCCTTACAGCAATTTTTTAGTTTTTTTGAATTTCTGCCTTGTTCAAATTGAAAATCTAACTCGTTCCAGCATGCCAAAGCCCCAGTGGATGGCCCAACTGGACTCAGGAATGGACCTGCCAAGTCTGAGGACGTTTGGCTTGTGATAGGACGATGACCCCTGCCTCCTCCTGCTTGCAGTTTTAAAATAGTCCCAAGTGACCAGTTTGCATTCTAGGCCGTAGTAACTCTTTTGCAGAATGAATAATATTTTCTTAGGCACTTTTAAGTTCTTACTCATAGCCTATTTAAAAAATGATTTAATGAATCAAAATACACTGTTTATAAGTCCCTAAGTGCACATTTTTTACAATGGCCTGAAAGAGTAGCTTTGTTTACACACATTTAAGTACAATGGCCAAGTGGGATGATGTTGTGGTCAGAACTCCCTCAAAATGATTTATGGAGAAAACTACTATCTGCCTGGTCATCTTTTTTAGGATTGAATTAGATTTTAACACTTGATTCACTTGAACTTGCACAGATCTCAACCCTACTTTTCAAGTAGCGAAACGAAGGTTTGCTGAGACACAAATAACTAACTCCAGACAAAGACAGTAGGGTAATCAAGAGCAAACTCAGGTTCCTTGAAAATCTAACCAATGTACTGCCTATAAACTATCAGGAAGCCTCCATAGTTAGAAGAATTCACAATAGGACTCCTACCTCTAGACTAGAGAAAGAATTTGGTAAGCAAACTAATTACCTACAAAGGACAATTTAGTGTCCATGTGATTTAATTTGTGGGGAAGCACTAGTCATATGCAATTGGCATGCTAGTGAAGAATTATTTCTCAATTTGTTAATTAGGCCCCTAGACAATCTCTTACAGCCTTGCAAGCTATACTAGTTATTGTGTGTGACTTCAAAAAATAAAACAATATTGTACTAAAATCTTCCCTAATTCAGGTTAGACTGAATTAGAAGTGCTACCATAGTGGATGCC